TCGCCTCCCCGACTCCACTGTGGCCCTACCCCTGCGGGAAATAGGACCCCCCGATGAAACGGGCAACCCCCGACTCCAGTATTGGCCCTTCTCTACCAGCGACCTTTATAATTGGAAAACCCCAAATGCTCGGTTTTCTGATAACCCTAAAGATCTCATAGCCCTCTTAGAGAGCATAATGTTCACCCACCAGCCTACCTGGGATGACTGCCAACAGCTTTTGCGAATCCTGTTCACCGCGGTAGAAAGGGAGAGGATTCAACCTGAAGCGCGGAAGCTGGTTCCCGGGGAAGATGGTGGACCCACTGTTAATCCTGACCTCATTAATGCAGCATTTCCCCTGACTCGGCCTGATTGGGACTACAATGCAGCAGAAGGTAGGGGACGACTGCTCATTTATCACCAGACTCTAATGGCGGGTCTCTGGGCTGCAGCACGCAAGCCCACTAATTTGGCCAAGGTATACTCGATAATACAAGGTAAAACAGAGAGCCCTGCCACCTTTTTAGAAAGATTAATGGAAGCCTTTAGGCAGTACACCCCCATGGACCCCGAGGCCCCCGAAAATCAGGCCACAGTTGTGATGTCTTTTGTAAACCAGGCTGCCTCTGACATCAAGAAGAAACTCCAAAAATTAGAGGATCTAGAAGGAAAACAGATCCAGGACCTACTCTGCATTGCTCAGTGGGTAGATAATAATCGGGACGCTCCAGAGGATAAACAGCTCAAAGCCACCAGGGAAATGACTAAAGTCTTAGCCGCCATAGTTCAGAAAGATCAAGGGCCCACAGGAGAACAGAAAACTCACCCCCCCAGGCGCCCCCTAGACAAAGACCAATGCGCCTACTGTAAAGAAAAAGGACATTGGATTCATGACTGTCCCAAAAAGAAACAACTGCGCTCGGGATCAGAGCCGTGGCAAACCAAAGTGGCCCCCATCCTATTTACCCAGGACTCAGAATAGGGAAGATGGGGTTCGGACCCCCTCCCCGAGCCCAGGGTAATCCTACAAGTGGAGGGGACTCCTGTGCAATTCCTTGTGGACACAGGAGCACAGCATTCAGTACTCACTAGCCCTCATGGAAAAATCTGTGATAAGTCCTCCTGGGTCCAGGGAGCTACAGGAACTAAAAAATATCCTTGGACCACCCAACGAACCGTGGATCTAGGGACAGGAAGGGTAACCCATTCCTTTTTGGTTATTTCGGATAGTCCCTGCCCCTTGCTGGGAAGAGATCTCCTCAAGAAAATGGGAGCTCAAATTCACTTTCAGCCCGGAGGGCCTAAAGTAACTGACTCCCAGGACCAACCTATCTCGGTCCTCACCATACAACTGG